ATTAGGACCACACACATATAAATGGATATTAATTGCTCTTTTTCTTTCCTGGGATATTTTTTCGACCAAGAGGCACTACCATTTTCTTATTATTTTTATATGGATTGTTTTCTTGCTTTCATTTGAATGTTTGCATGCTTAAAATGGATTTCATTATTTCCTTTTGTAGTTTTTCTAGGAATCATGAATGCAATATAGGTTCTTTAGGATTTCAAATTCAAAATTTTCTACAAAATTCTTATAAAATATTCAAGATAATAAAAATTTTAGGATTATAATATTTAGTAATTTAAAATTCACATTTTTACTTTTTTGCATGGCATTTAAGCCTGATTTTAAATGGGTTGCATGCATAGTATTACATGTCTCAAGGAGAAGCCTCTATTCTTCTCCAATGATTGATCTGACATAGATTTCTACTTTGGTGGTTTTCTAGTATGTTTAGGGTGTTACAAGACATCTGACCCAATCGGGTGAGAGTCCTTCTCTAGGAGTGTTTCCAACTTTGTAGCTGAACTTACCCTTCTCTTCTTTTCATGTAACATCTCCACCATTTATTTAGTGGGTATAAGTTCCACCTCTTTGGGCTCTACCTTATAGTTATAGGATAGAGTTTCCTTTCTTTAACCTTAGGGCTGTCAAGAATCCCTAGGATGATGCAATGCATGTATTACTAATGAGGAGTCTCTGGTTATGTTGGGTTAACAACCTTCACAACCAAGTAGACTTAAGGTCCTGGTAGTTTGGGATGACTAGTCCATGGTACACCGACTCAACTACCTCTACCTTTTAGGATTAGACTACCCTTCCTCTTATTAAGCCCCTTTGAGCCCTCTCACTCCTTTGACTTCATTGATATCATCTTGTTGGCCTGATTACCAATGAGCACTCGCTCGTTTAGGATACAATCATTCACCCTTTACCCTTATAAAACAATAAGCTTTGACATATATGGATATCCCCGTCATGATGATTTTGGCTATTTCATAGGCTCTAATGTCGATGAGCCTCTACTAATTTAGGATGTGAGAGTCTCACTCTCTGCCTTGTGTCTTAGCAAGAGCTTTGAAGCTTCAAGGCATTCCAATTTAAAATAAGCATCTTTTGATGGATTATTCTCTAGGTTCATGATTTTACAAGCAAAACACCTTTTATTGAGATCATTCCTTGGTATCCCCATGGATGTAATTAACCAGAGGGATATGTTTTTATAGGAGACTCTTGATCCTAGAATAAAAATATTATTTTTTGTTCTCTGATTATGGGTGGTTTAAATAGGGATTCTCTTCATGGATTTTATGTTTTGAGGTACTTTGATATGATCCTGTTAGGACCTATATTCTTGACCCATCAAACGAGGATTACCCATGTAAAATCTTTCACTTGTTTTTTTTTTATTTCTTTGCCTATTTGTTGTTGTATATCCTTCTTTTTGAATCCTCTCCTCTTCAAATCATTGATATCATCCAAGAAACATTTATTCTAATAAGGGAATTATATGATGACATGTAAATAAATAAACTAGGAAATTTGAGTCTTCAAAAAGAACCAAGAGAACAACCATGAAGCTTAAGAAATAAGAAAAGAGATCGACCGACCATTGAATAGCCAACCACCAGAGGAAGACAATAAATTTCATGATTGAAAAAAAGAAAGAACCAATAGAAAGAACTCAAGGAAATATTCAAAGAAGGGATTTCTGAACACTCAGGCTTATTCATAAACAAAATAAGAGAAAGTTCAACCAACATAGAGGCAACAATGACATTTATTACTTGAAATCATAGAAAGGAAGTAATTCAAACACACTAATTAAGATTGAAAAGTTTAAATTTTTATTTCATAAATAAAAATTATTTACATCTACCGCTCAGCGTCTCTTAAGAAAATAATTTTTAAAACTAACAGCAATAGCTTCAGTCGAGACATACCCTTACCTAAGCAGCCATTTGTACAAAAGTTTGACCCTCATATTCTAAACATATCTACTATATTTATTTCAATTTGATTCTAGATGGTGGAAGATGTCTCCCTGAAGGTTGGCAACTCCACCATAGAAATGTGACTTTTTTATAGAGGGTTTCCTTCCAAGCACACATTGTGGCCATCTCCTCCACCAGATTATCCAAATTGTGCACCCACTTGGCCAAAAGAAGCATCTCCCAACACGACAAAATCTAGTTGCTTGAAAGAGCTAATCTTCTATCCCATGCAACTAACATCTTTCTTGAGCTAAAGGATTTTGGTCATTTGGCCACTTTTGCATAGGCCTCCCCTTGAAGACTCAGGTAAAACTCGACCTTATGTGAGGCACTCTCTACTGACCCACAATTCATAACAGCCATAATAACTATATTAGCACCAACTACTATTAAAAAGGAAATGATGTAACCACTTCGCTGAGCGGGTCATCTGCATCAAAATATAATATAAAGTAGGATCGAAAAAAAGAAAATCCACACAAAAAATATCCTTCATACCGAAGATCCTTTTCCACTTTGAAGGGGTGAAAGAGAACCCTTCCTCATCACTTAAACGTTCTTCAATGGTGGAAGAAGGTAGGTTACGCCTTGATTTCCAGAAAGCATCAAGGCATCAACAACTTGTCACATAGTTCTCAAGTAGCTACTTTTGGCTCCCTAAATGATGCAAAATTTGCCAGTGGCTCCTTGCTATGTTCCTAATGGTAGAGTTTGAACGTGAGCCAACAGATCAATCAGCGGTTCCATTGGACATCCAATTTTTCACACTTGAAATGCTTTTCATAGTGAACTTCCTCCATAAGGGAACCCTCTTTCAAGTGGTTTTGATCCGCTCTCTTGCTAGGGGGATTTATGAACGAGTAGATGACCACACCTGATCGTCCAGATTAGGTGCGCCAACACGTTCTACCTCAGTTCCCCTTCTAGTCGGAGGTCAGTATCCCACTATAGATCTTTAAAAGCCATCCATTATGTTCCTTTATTGTACGTTCCACCCTTAGGGAGTGACTCATTAATCATGTTATCGGTGAAAGTTCAGATAGACACAACCAAGAATTTGGAGGAAGATGGAAGACACATGCTCCTCACTCCATATTTATAGGAATCACAGGCACAAAATACAATGAGAGTTCAATTATCATATTTTAAAGTAATCATAAATATTGCTCACATTTTTTCATTAATTTTTCTTGTTCTTACTGGAGTGTAACTATCAATAAATAAAAGAATCGGAGAACTAAATATGCACACAAGAAATATGTCATCATGAATCTTGAGGAAATCTAAAGGACAAATATAAGCATGGTCAAATATGACAGAAAAAGGATCAAAGAATACATTACGTGAGCCAACAAGGTCCATTACCTCAAGGTTCCCTTCAAGTCGTGTTTCAAGCTGATCGAACGAAAGATTCCTAGGTCAAAGATCAGAACCTATCTAATTAAGAGAAGGTAATGACCTAATTCTCACGGAAACAAAAAAGTCATCTTTGAGGAACCCATATAGACATGTCAAGTGAATTAAATTGTTCATCACAACATCTATATGAGCTCCTCGATGGTTCCTCATTGAAAGGGGTGGGCTATCTATCTGTTATGATGATTCATCCCCTACTCGACAGTCTACTCCCATCCTAGTGATAAAATATCACACAATACCACACAATAACAAGGTCCATTGCCGCAAGTAGGTAATTGTGTACTTCATGCACCCCCTTATCTATAAATACGGGGGCATTTTTTCCAGTAAAGGGCTGAAACATTAGGAATTAAATCTCTAAAAATTCTCCTCTAATTTGCTCTTTCTCTCTCTCTCTTACATATACACATAATTCTATGTTCTATGTGTTGAGTGTGATTCAAAGGACAATCTAGGAATACCATTATTAATATCTAATCAATACATATGTATGCATATATTGATTAGATATACATATATATATGTATATATATGTATATGTATATATATATATATATATATATGTATATATATATATATAGATGTATGTATATATATGTGTGTATGTATGTATGTATGTATATGTGTGTGTATGTATGTATGTATGAGTGTGTGTATGTATGTAGGTATATGTGTGTGTGTCTGTGTGTGTTTTGCTCGCATCATAATTAAATAATGTATACAAGCTTATTATTTAGTATTAATTAATTTAAGGTATGGTATCTTATCTAAATAATGTTTTAGTAAAAAGGAATAAGAAGAATTAGCTAAACGGCTTACTTATTAGGTTTTTCAAATTTGGTTGCGCTGAGTTTTGCTAACTTTCTTCAGGAGTCTTTTTCAGTGTTGTGACAAGCTTCTCCATATTCAATTGTTGACTTTTTTTCATTTTTTATCTAAATATTAATTAGCTAAGGTATTAAATTTAAAATTATTAAATAATAAATATTAATATTAATAGTTGATGTAATATAAAAAATTAAATGTTTTTGGCATAAATATGAAAATTTGAATGTGAGACATATAAATATATAAATATTGTGTGTTATGTACGTAAATGCCCCTTTTTTCACCAAGCGTGAAGTTATAATTTATAAAATTTAAAAGCTTCTCTTCCCTTTTGGGTTGCTTATGGCCGCGTGTGAGAGCGTCCTGGCTGGCATCTGGTCTTAATAAAGCTGGTAAATATCCCGGCGGAGTGACTCCTATATATAAAAAAATAACATAGTATTATTTGCGGAGTCTAATGAAATCACGTCACGTGGAGGTGATAAAAAAAAAATCAGCCCAATAACACTGAGAATATTCCTCCCGTGTTATTCCGTATTATTAATGTATTATTATATATTATTCAGGTATTATTATATGTAATTAAAATATTCTTGATATTTTAATAACACAATAAAATATTAATAAGAATTGAATAATATATAATAATACGTTGATAAGACATAAAAATATCTGAATAAAAGGGAAGAAATATTCACTTATCTTACCAAATATATCTTATTTATGTTACCGTAATGTGATTTCATTTTATTAACTGTGTGGAGTCCTAAATATTCGCTATTTGTGCCCTTCTTCCGACGAATCCTTCATCTAAAAGTTCACTCCTCTTCCTCGACGTTTTCTTCCCATATCTATTCCTCCGACGAACTTGTTGAATGGTAGGAGATTCTTTGAGGTCACCCCCTTTCCCTGTATCAAAGGACTCCACCGCCGTCTTTGCAGGTGTTGGTGCCGCCTTATCATCCTCCGTCGCCGGCCCCATCGCTTGCTGCATGGAGGGCTGGCACTACCGCTGCCTCGCCCTCGACCCTTAGATATCCGCCTCATCGATATTCTGTTGATATTGTCCTTCTAGCTCCTTATCACCGTCGATCGCCATGTCCCTGCTTCCCCCGCCTACGCCATCAAGAAAGAGGCTTGAGAAAGGCGAGAAGACGAGGAGTAAGAGTAATGGAAGAAAGGAGAGCAATCGGATCCTTATCACCGTAACCGTGCTTGGTAGTGCTGGCCCGATCCGCTTTTTTGTTAGAGAAGAGGAACTTGTATCTGCTGTCGTGGGGACGGTTCTCAAGGCTTACGAACGCGAGGGCCGCCGCCCCATTCTCGGCCGCAACCACTATGATTTCGTCCTTTACCACGCCTTCGATGGATCCCATGGTCAGTTCAGGCACTTACTGATCTGTTTGCCTTTCTTGTTTTGCGATAGTTCTTTTTTTTTTTCCGTTAGCTTTTCTGATTTTCTTGACCTGGGCTATAGGTTTGAATTCATGGGAACCCATCGGATCCTTTGGGAGCAGGAATTTTCTGCTGTGCAAAAAACAGAGGCTGTCTGGGGAGGAGTGGCAAGCAACACCCGGGAGTGAAATGGGAAAGAAAGGCATGGGTGTCTGGATGGCCGGCCTGAATAGGTCACTTTCTTTGATCTCTTCTTAGTGAATGATCCCATATATGGTGGCTAGTTTAACTACTGTTGCCGGGCGAGATTGGTTGCTCCTTATTCCTAAATCATGGAGGGGAGATATGGAGTATAGGCCAAGGGGATGCTGCTTTCTCTCGAAGTATTTATCAATCGATATCGTTCACTGACTGTTTCTGATTTTGTACAAGTTGATAACAAAGGACATTTGAATCTATTGGTAAAAGCTTAGATTTTATTTCTATTTTTAATGGAGAAAATTGGTAAAAGCTTAGATTTTACTATATGGTTGTGCTTGTTTTGTTTAATGTGACGGTGTGTGTGTGTGTGTGTGTGTGTGTGTGTGTGTGTGTGTGTGTGTGTGTGTGTGTGTGTGTGTGTGTGTGTGTGTGTGTGTGTGTGTGTGTGTGTGTGTGTGTGTGTGTGTGTGTGTGTGTGTGTGTGTGTGTGTGTGTGTGTGTGTGTGTGTGTGTGTGTGTATATATATATATATATAGATGGGAAAAGTTTTAGTGCCATGTAAGAAGTATTCAGTTTGAGATAAATTTTAAGATTTTTTGGTGCACGAACAATAATTTTATCGTACATATCATACCCTTAATCCAAGAAGAACTGAAAATGTCCAAGAAGACCCTACCAAGCATGTAAAAACCATGTCGTTAGGCAAAGATGGAAGCAAGCACCGATATGATTGATAGATTATCCCCGCAATAAAAACAGTATAGTTCCTCCAGGCTTAACCGATTAATAATAATGGTTGCAGTAATTAATTAAGATCAGGAGGTTTTATGTGAAAAACTTATGTTACTATCTAGTCGGGCATGTTGTATCTGCCAAAAGTTTTCTTGAGTTCTCCAGGTTGAACATAAACTCACAAATAATGTTTATCAAGATGTATAATTCATGTGAGCTCCACTTAGAGGGCGAGCAAGAATAATCGTCAAGGTATTCAGAAATTCCTTTAAAAGTGGTCGCTCGAGGAAAGAGACAACTCACCCGTACTCACTGCCCTAAAGTGTGAGCAAATAACTTAACAATAGAGTTACACTTTAATTAAACAAATCTTTTCTGTGCTTTTCATATATTATTTGGTTATACGCCTTACATCAAGATTATTATGGTTTGTTGTGTAATTTTTCTTTATTCAGGCAGCTCTAATGTAATTTTTTATTTTCAATAATATTGAATTTTGAACTAGTACTATAAGTAAGAGGTTAGGAGAACTACTCGAGTCATAAATCACTTATATTGAAGTCTTCAACCTTCTTCAATTTATTCGAAACTCGTTGTTTCTCACTCTTTTTTTTCTAGTTTTTTTTTACTACATTTTTCTTATTAGTGTTGAATCCAGATTTGTCTTGTAAGTCATACACAAGAATTGGAGCGAGTATACAACGACTTGTCCCTCTAGAGCAAATTGAAGTATTATGGGGCTCTGTGACCCATTTTATTTTTTAAAAGTCGAGGCTACAAGAGAGAATGAGAGAGAGTTTATACATGGTATGGTCCCCTTTTTTAAAAGAGATATAGAAGAAAAATATAAAATTACATGTTTTACCCGGGTTGTACGACGTATTATTGTATTTTATTGTTGTTTGGATCTTTTGCTTGACATGTCATTGAGTCAGGTGACTGAGCTGGTTTCCGTTGCATTTTTGTCTGGACATCGGTCGACCTTTGTTTTGGGAAGCCGATCATCTTTTGGGCAGTTAGTCGGCTTGCCTACTTTTGCTTCTGTGGCGATCTTTTAATGATCGTTGAGGGTGCTGTTAAGAGAGCTTCACATTGATACTTGCGGGATCGTTAAAGGTGCTAGACATTTGTTCAGTCATTAGTGTGGTTGTCTGTCTCTTGTTGACCTAGAAGGCCTTTTGGTCATATGACCTTCAGTTGATCGGTCAGCATCCCTTCGGTTGTCAAGCTATCGAACGACTGGTGTTCTTCAACCGGTCAAATTCATGATGCCTTGTAACTTTCCTCTAAGGGGATCTTCGTCATCTATCTTCTGATTTGAATAGTTAGATTATCTCGAAATTCATACCTATAGATTTTTTTTGTACTTACTATGTTTTTCGATTTTCTTGCTCCTTGATAGCGATGGTTGCATTAAGAACAATAAAAACTTTAATGCAATAAATCAATTCTTACTAGTCAAAATTTAACGCAACAATTAGACTCCATGGATTTTCGTGCCCATGACTCTTATATGTAGGACGTAGTAGATGGTTCTCAGTATCTTGAGTGTATGTTTCTCTTTTCATTTGCTCAACTTGTGTACATTTCCCCTATTTAATCTAAAGGCTAGATAAGGTTTAGACTAATCTAAGGTCTTAAACTTCATATAAGGAAAAATTCTTGTAGTTAATTACATCTTAAGCAACTAATGTTACTTGAGAGAACTCTTGATTAAGCTTGGTTGTGGTTTTTCTTCAAGAAATTTTTTAAGTTTAGGCTTTTATGATTGGTTATTCAGAGTTATAAATGAGAAAGACTCAAAAGCAGAATAGTTATTGTTGGAACCGAAAGGAAGAAAAAATAAGAGATGTCAAAGATGTTAAGAAATGAAATAACATCTCAACTATCCTATTGTTCGGCTTTAGTGGTTTTGAAATAAGTTTATATGATGTTTTCTCTTGACATTTTATGAGAAAGTTAGGGCTTATAGCGTATGATATATGATCGTGAGAAAGCCTATTAGATGAGGATTTATGTCGTAACTAGATGAACAACTTTAGAATTCTAAAAATAAGGTGAAGTTCACTGAAAGAAGTGAAACTTCAGATCTCTTATCTAAAGGGAAGAAAGAAAACAAATAAAATACAATAGATTTAAAACTCTGCCTAGAAAGGGTTGTCATCTAACCAACTAATCACATCTAACATCATGCTTGGTTTATCACAATGATGCAAGATAGGGTAGGTTATTAATTTATTTGAAGTGATAGGTCTTATGACTTTATTATAAATCAAGTTTCCTAAGTATAACTGGTATGCATAATGTTTTAAGATTAATGTGGATATATTTATACATTTTAAAATTTAAAATTTTATTAAAGCTCAAAAAAGTGTTTTATTATTTATGATTAACTTTGAGCGCAAGTGTATTGGAGCAGTCTGTGTAATAGGCTATGTATGTTCTTGATGATAAATGTTTAGAAAATCAACTCATTAAAACCAAATAAGATCCAAGGGAAGACTCACTTCCATGATATGATGGTTCTTACGTAACAAACCATCCTTTATTGTGCAATGTGAGTGATAGAAGTACAAGGAATAGAAACAAGAAAATTATGTGCATGTCTGAGGTAATGTTCTCGTGGCTATCCCTAATTCAAAAACATATTTCTATTCAATTTTATTTGATGTCAAATCAAGTGTTTTATATGCATGTTATTTGCTAAGGTTGTGAATGCAATAATATATGCGATTTTTTTCTAGTTACAAGATTTATTTAATTTTGAAAAGTTCGGTTTAAAGTATCTACTTAGTTTGGGTCAAAGTTTTAGCCCTTAGATGAGTTTACCGAAAAATCTAAGTAAAAAATACAACAAAACATCAACCTAATATTGGGGCAGACTTATCAAGAAAACACACGAAGGACATACATTAGGTGTTAATATTAGAACTGTGTCAGACTCATCGGTTAACTTTATCTAAACCCATTTTATTAGTTTAGTAGAGGTCCATCCTCTTCTGGATTGTTCAGATGTTAATAGTCAGTCAACCAAAACACCCTAATGCTAAAAGAAAAAGGAACACTATGTCGGTCTCCTTTTGTTGGGAAAGGATATTTAATTTAATATGATATATATTACAATTTTGAAAAGCAATATTTTAATTTTGAAAATACGAGACAGAATTGAGCTCATATAAACTATAGTTAAAACAAATGAGCACAACACTACAAGTGACATACCTATCCCGAGGAATAGACATATCACTTATACGTGAGGCTCGATTAAATAAATTAAAGAAGTTATGACATTCATTTTAGTATGTGAACCTTTATGCTGGCTGACAAGTTCCTCTATTTAATGTGAAAGATTAGATATGGTTTATGTTATCCTAAAGTTTTCTATAAGGGCAAACCCTTATAGTTAATTACATCTTAAATGACTAGGGTCACCTAAGAAAACTATCGATTTAGATAAGAAAAAATTATCTTCAAGAATTTCAAAGGCTAGGACTATTTAAAGATCAGACCATGAAGTGTCAAATGTGAAAGGCTTAAATTTGGAACATTGTTATGAAATCCAAAGGGAGAAAACTAGGCATTGTCACAGATTCTAAGGAGAACCTCAATGACTTCCCAAGCTATCCTATGATTTGACATCAATTTTGAGAAGAAAATTATTAAATGTTTTATCTTGCTAATTTTATTTTTTAGGGCTTACATTTGTATGATACAATCAAATAAATAGCTTGGAAGATATAAGGATTTATGTCATAGCGAATGATGACATCAGAGTTTGGGCTTAAATTGTACAACATGATTGTGCAAAGGTCTAAAGATAATGTAAGGATTTATGTTGCACTAGGCAAATGACCTCAAAATCCTATGACATGTATTCAATTCTAAGGAAAAGATTTGTTCTTGTAGATACTTTTACTGTTGTAGATTGTTGCCCTCGAAGTTAGCTCCAAGCTCCTCGTTGAAGTAGCAGTCCTAAAGTTTAAGGGTTCAAAATGTTTTACCAGATGTGTTTAAGTGAAAAATTTTGGTTGTTCAAGTATTATGTGGGGGTTAAAGTTGATTAGAACGATACTAGTTAGGATCCTACAGTTCCCTTGTTATGGTACCACTATTTTCTTCTGAATTTACTTAATTTACATGCGTTGTTAAGTTCATTTAAATTAGGAAAATCTCGTTAGCAACAGTGGGTTATCTCATTAGAGGGACTCTGGTAAATTCAAAAGAGCGTGTTATGAAATTGTTGTTTTGTTGTTTTTGAAAAATATTGTTCATATTTGATAAATGGTTTTGTAACTTTCAATTTTGGAAAAAAATTTGTAGGTAAAGCAAGTACAGGTAAGAAAATCTAGTAAAGTAAAAGGAAAGAAAATTGCATTGCAAAAAAATAAATGTGTATTTGTCATCTTCCCTGCACTCCAGTTGAAATGTTAGAAACTTACGACAAATATAATTTTGCGAGAAATTTAATTAAATTACTGGAATGGAAAGCAATAAAACCAGTTTAAGGTGTATTTAC